CTCTTTTTTTCCTGATTCCTCTCCCTGACTGATGAGGGGGATATATATCTATATCTATATAGATATAGATATATATATATGGTATATATCATCAGGTGATAGAGTGACTGTTACATTTAGCCCTGGGTACAGGCTAAGCATAGACAGACTGGAGCCACTGTGAGAGTGTGAGTGTCCTTACAGGGGCCACAGAGTACCTGCTTGAGCCTGGTGGGGTCAGACATGGTGTCAGGCAAAGGTCTTCGGAGTGCTAAAGGCTGCCTTGGTCAGGGGAAGAGCTGTGGTTTGTGTCAGTGCCAGAGCAGATTGGTTGTGGTTGTAGGCTGTGCCCCAAAGAAAGCACATGAAGGAAAGTTTAAATTTAGGGGACCCAATTGGCTCCAGATGCGAGAGGCCCATGCACACAAGTCCCACACTGATATACTCCTGTGGCAGTCACTCCTGATGTCCAGGAAGAAGAACTAAGCCTCTAATTTTAGGGTTGACTCTAGGAGGGTAAAAAAGCATCACTGCAGCCTGGACGTTTCCCCACTCTCCTCAAACATGAGGCTTTTACATTGTACTTCACAGAAGAAAGAAAATAGATCTTTCCAGCATGATGTCAGTGGTCTGAAGACTGGGCTTCTTCCATGCTTTCTTCCTGCCTCCCCAGAGCAGCTGTCCTTGGTGCCTCCTCACTGCAGCCAACATCTCTTGGGTACCACTTCCTTGCAGCATCTTATGTTGACTCCCGTCTGTTCTGGGATGCCTTTTGCTGTTTGCTCCCCATTCAGCTGAGCAAGCCCAGCTCCACCCTCCCAGGCGCCCAGCACCCTGGCTCAAGGAGGGGCACCCAAGCAGGATAATACCATTTGCCCTGCATGCCTAGTTTATCTGTAAGCAGCTGCACAGCCTGAAACTGCCTTTTAAAGCAGCCACCTCTATGGTGTCATGATGAGGAGCAAGCAGTGCCAGTGACAGCTCATGCTGGCATTTGCTCCATGAAGAATGCGGAAGGCAAAAAGGCTTTTTTTCGGGGAAATGGTGCCCCAGGGCAGTGATGGCTGCAGGGGAGAGGTAGGGTATGTCTCTGTGGTGTTTGCCAGATGGTGGCCTTTGGAGATACCAATCAGTGGTGCATTATGTGGCAACTGGAATCCAGCCAGACCCCTATACTGCTTTTTCCTTTTTTATTTTTTCCTTCCCTCCCATCTTGCAAAAAATAAAGCTTGTGTGAGGTCCGCCCTGTCTCCTCCATCCTTCCCTCTCCCCTGCAAGTTTTGTGGCTCAGCCAGTGCTGCTACCAGCCAGCACAGGCTGCTTGGGAGAAGATTGTGATAGCCAGTTGCCAGCAGGCAGGGTTCCTGCCTGCAATTTTGCATTAGTCAGAGACTTGTTTCTCCTGTACAGGCCTTTTCTGGGAAGGTTTTTTATTTGCCAGGAGAGGCATGACTATAGCACAAGAGGAAAAATACTGATTGCCTCTGCTCAGCAGCCCAGTAGTAAGCATTTCCCCTATGTTTCTACATCTCTGTGTGGAAATACTCATATGTGTCTTTCAGAGAGAAGCAGTGTCCCTTTGGAAGGGGCAAGGGGGAGGGAAGAACTTGAGCTTCTATGTAATAGATAAAGTTTTATGAGTGCTGCTGGCCATTGGTGGTCTCTGGAGGTTCTAGGATACAGGGGCTGGAGAAGCTGGGCAGAAATGATTACTGAGACGAGAAAGGGTGGGCAGGAGTCAAGCAGATGGTAAAAGGATGGGGAGGAGGAGGGCATAGTGACAAGGACTAGCTGCAGGAAAGGGGGTTAATTTGCAGCACTGGGAGTAGAGACTGGTGCTGGTTTTGGTTACCTGGTATGGGAATGCCTCATCTTCCTCTCCGGCAGGCATCGCTCAGAGATGCAGTGCTATCAAGTACCGCTTTTCCCAGCTGGTATGCTTGTGCAACATCCCCTTCAACCCAACAAAGATGATCCATCAGGACGAATGGCATCTGCTCTGTAAGTGTTCAGCATGGCTCACTCCTTCCTGGCAAGATCTGTGGCTCATCCTCTCCCTTTCACGTGAAAAACGCAGCAATGAAACACTAGTTTGCAAAGGAGGGGGCTGAGGAGGCCCCATGGGGGCCCAGCCGTCAGCAATTTTCACTCTCACTTTTACTTGCAGGCTGCTATGGTCAGTCCAGGAAAGTGTGAACACCACACACAAGGGTTTTTAAATTTGTTGGATGTCACCTGCTCTTAGCCAGCTTTCACAGCCCTATCACTTCTGCCCTTGCCTCTCCAGGGGTCTGCAGACACCAATTTGAAAACTTGTGTTCTGATGTCACTGGAAAAGCTCCAGCAGGAGAGATGTCAGAAGCTAACAACAGAAGCCATGTGCTAGAAGCATTATGGCAGAACCTGTCTGCATGGACACTCCCTGACATTTAGAAACTGGAGCACTTCTGTCCATCCAAATTACTTTAAATTTAAACTCTGGAAGGAAATAGAGAACAAAGAGTGTATTATGATGTCTCTGCATAAAAGCATGCTGCACCCACATCCTGAAGGTCATATGGCTGAAGCTGTACGATTACATGGTTCATGTGATAGTGGGAAGTTTATAGCACAACTATGAAACTGCTAGTTTGTAGCAGCCTTGCTCCAGTATCACTTTCTGCTTACAGGTACTCGTAGGTCAGGGATGACTCCTACTGTGGGTCTGCCTGGCATGGGCCAGCTGCACTCGTGGCTATTTCTAGGTGTCCCTCCACTTCCTCCTGCAGTGGAAGGCTTGTCCATAGTAACATCTGCTCTTAATTCTTAGGTTTGGTGGTAACAGACTTGAGAAGGGTCATGGCTGGATTCTTGGGCATGGCTGCAGCTGCTCTTCTCTGCAGATGCATCGTGGCAGCAGTCAGCTTCTTTTGGGAGGAAGGCCTCACCCAGCACGTATCAGGTCTGCTGTTCTGACAACAAGTGATGAGTCATTTTAGCAGGCTAATTACGGATAAAGGCTTCACTAGGTTTCCCTTAGGTAGGCAAGGTGCACTGCCAGTAAGCGGAGCATGTCTTTCCTTCTGATCTCCAGTTACTGTGCCTTGCATGAAGTGAGTTGCTTATACAAGTGGAATAACCAATAATTAGAAACAAAAAGCCTGTGAAAAATGCTCTAGGCCTCATGCAGCAGCAGGAAAGGACAACGGGGCTAAACCAACCACTTGTTATGTACAAAGCAATCTCTCCTACAGAACAGAATGGTTCCTTGCTGCAATTTGTAGTTCTTGATGGTGGGCTAAATGTTTCTTATAACGCTGAAGTAGGAAAGAGGAATACCTTAAAGAAAAAAAACAACATGCCTTAGTCATAAAATTAGGAGTTGTTTAGAGGGGGAGGAATGGTAAAATCTGTGAACACCAAGCTAGCATGACTTTGAGCCATCCAAACTCACGAGGCTAAGCACACCTCCTTCTCTTGTGCCAGAGGAAGTCCTTTGATTTGAGCAGCTGTAATGCACAGCACAACCATATTTTTTAATAAATTTGGAAAGCACAAGCATGAGGAAAGGCTAACTTAGCTGCTTAATGAAAAACACACCGTAATGAAAAACACTTGAGGAAAAGGGACCCAACAGAAACCCTAGGCTGTGAGAAGGGTGTTGGCAGAGAGCTGGGGAGTGATTTAACCTGAATGGTTCCTCTGCAGAGGTATGTGGAAGGCCACCCATGGAGGCAGGTTACCTGCTCAATAACCTCCATATCACACTACACGCAGCACATGCAAAACCGTTTCCCCTGGCTGCTCTGAGGCATGCAGCAGGCTCTGCTGCTGCAAAGGGGATTCATCATCACAACACCAGCTTGCATGATGTGATTGCATCCCGTGTGTCAGATCTGATCACAGATGGAGGCTTTGGCTACCTTGCTCTGTTTGAAGGGCAGGCAGGACTTAAGTCACAGAGGAGACTCTCTTATTCTTAAAAGTAGCAAGCAAGAAGTTTGCTGGATGCAATTCACAGCAACAGAGTTAGGGCTTAGCCTTGCATAACTGGGTAATACCCGAAAACATTACGAATGCTGGTAATTATCACCTGTGTGCTACTCAAGATAACTTATACCGATAAAGTTGGGTGCAAGTTATTTGATTAGTAAGACCTAACATTTATTTTGTTATTCACACTATGCTACATGTCAAAATAACAATGCAATTATTTTCTTTACAGGAATATTTTGCACTATATCTCTGTGCAGTTATGCGTATCATATGGCCTAAACCACCTCCTGACATTTGTCTATAATCTTCCCAATGATATAGAACAGAGATACAGCTGGTATTTTGTGCTTGGTGCAGTCTGGGATTTACAGTAGCAGCTGGGTGTCTTTGCACAGCTTACCTGTTTGTTAGCAGGGGCAACATTTTGCAGCTGAAGTCCACCACAGGCTCCCCTGTATGACTGCCCACTAGTCACCAGCAACCTACAGTGATGGCTGAACAGTGTTTTTCAGGACATACTCAAAGAAGAAGTGAAGGGAAAACTAAGCTCAGGATTCCAAGCACAAAAGTCTGATTCCTCAAAATCTGACTGTTGCGTTTTACTGGTTCAGCAAGCTGTTCTCCCATGCTGCCCGGCAGAGAGATTTGAAAAGGAGACAGCTCTCAGATGACAGAGATGTCTCAGGATCAGATGCTTCAGTTCAGCATGCCGAGTCCATGCAGAGGAACATATTTGCATTAGAAGGTAAAAGGGGGAGGAAAGTTGCTGTAAGAATTAAGGGCTTTTTCTATTTTTCAAGGATCTGTACATGAAGAAATTAAGGAAAAGTAACGGTTGCCAAATGACTCCTAGTCAGGATTATACCTGCTCCCCAGGGCATCATCTGTAATGTTTTAATTCAGCACCTTCTTCACTTGACCCTAAAGGAAGTCTTTGCATCCCTCTCCTCCCAAAATGCCGTAACAGACCTTTTTCTTTTAAATCAGTGTGTATCTCCATCTCTTTGTGTATCCTTTGTACATGAAGTTCCCACCGTAATTTGTAAGTAACCGAGATTTCCATTCTGAGCACCCAAGCTGCGCTGTGAGAAGGATTAAATTACTCCTGTCCATTCCTGGATGGTCTCTTGGTTATAACACATTTGTCAAGCTACAGTATCTGCTGTAAAACACCTGCTTCTGTCAAAAGCATTTGTTTGAAATGTAACTTCACAGTTTGGAAATGGTGTCTCTTGCAAGGCAGAGAAAGGTCGTAAACCAGAACGGCCATAGCCTGGACAGTGCTTGCATAAAACATCCCTATGGGGCAGTGCAGCATGCTGGAGTTAGAGCTCCAGAGAACCTCTCCTGCTTGGGCCAAGAAGCCACCCATAGCAACAGAGGGATGGAGAGATGCTAGAAGAGGGGAGGCTTTGCATTTTCCAGATGACACCACCACACTAATCTATCAGACAGCACTCAAACTGACAGAGCCAGTCCCCACAACTAAGAGACTTATGTGCTATGTTGATGCATTTTTCACAGCTTGTCCAAAGCTAAAATCCTCTGCCATCACCTGAAAACCAGTGTTGCCCTTGATGCATGGCATCCGTACATTCATTGCCAGAGCTGTGTTTTACACCTGCTGGGCACAGTGAAAGAGTTGGCCATGCCCCTGGAAGGTCCCCCAGACTGCCTCGCAGAGGGCACAGGCTCTGTGAGGAACGGAGAAGAGCAATCTGAGAAGGTGGATGGTACGAGATGAACACGAAAGGGAATGATGGGTGGAAAGGGTCAGATACAGAGTATTGTGAGTGGGCTGGGAAGAGAAGAAGGAACATGTGAGAGAAGGGTTGGTTGAAGGGTAAAGGAATGGGAGAGGAAGGAAGGGGAGGTGAGAGGCAAGGGTGGTGTAACAGAGAAGTATTGCCTTAATGCAGTAACCATCAATTAAATGACAGCCTAGAAAGTCAGTGCCAAATTAGGCTAAGAAACAGAATCAAACAAAGTAGACTAAAACCCAACAGATCAATTAAATGCCTGGAAGCAATGGCAGGAGAAACCAGCACCAGCTCTAAGCACAGCTTTAGGGCCAGGCTTCCCTGCATTTCTTGCTTGGCTTCACCACTGAGCACAGAGCAGTGTTCCTCAGCAGTTAGGTCCTGTTGGAGTCAGCTCATACCTGTTTACATAGTTGTCTTCTCATACACAGATCAAGGCAGAAATACTCTCTTCAGATGGTTTATACATCTAATATAACACCAAGAAGGTTAAACTCGGTTCCATCTTGCGTGAAAAGCACAAATAGCCATGAGGGAGGCTGGAGGCCACCAGAGGCCCCTTCCCACAGGCATGACAACTGTATTGAAATGACACCGCAGCATTCTATAAGACTCCACAAGGGGCTCCACAAGCAGTTATAAACAAGAGTAAGTTTTAGCCTCTTGAAATACAATTAGCCTTAAGATTAAAGTCTCTTCCCTCCCCCAGCCGAAGTACCTTGTCGGAATCAAGGAAAAAAAAAAAAAAAAAACCAAAGAAAGCCACCCCCTGCTCCCCCCGCAAACCGCAGACACGCTACTAATCATATCTTTGTACTAATCACGGCAGAGTAACACAGTGCATGAGTCCATCCCAGCTTGCCAAGTTGCAAATGCTTGTCCAAAATACAAAATAGCATCTGAAAACAATCTGTAGTAATTCTTTATAAAAATACTTCACTGTTAGCTCAGCAGCCATGGGAAAGCCTTGAATTAAACTATCCC